TGACTCCCAGCTCTGCACTCAGGAATCACTCCTGGCGGTGCTCGGGGGACCCTAGGGGATGCCGGGGATCGAACCCGGGTCGGCCGCATGCCAGGCCAACGCCCTCCCCGCTGTGCTATCGCTCCAGCCCCCCCGGGACGTGTTTGCTGCCCAGTAGTGGCTGCAGGCCTGCGTGTGACCACGGTGGCCTGCCAGTGACCCCTCACCCCACCGCCAGCTCCACCTGCCCTCCCCCCACACAGGGGCCACAAGCCCAGGCAGGGCCCCCGTCCCTCCCCCCGCTGTCTGCCTTCTCTCTCTGTGGTCTCAGCATCCCACGTGGGGCTGCCCCTGCGTGGTGGCTGGTAGCAACTCCGCCCAGGGCTCATGCCAAGGGGTCCACAGGGGCTGGGCCACCCTGGGGTGCTGTGTGTGTGGAGGGGGGTCTCCCCCACCTCTCCCTGAGAACTGGGGTCAGCAGCTGGCTGGATGAGTGGAAGCCGGGGGGCCGGGGGGAGGCCTTTGTTTGGGGTAACTGAGTTCACTGGCGTCTCCCCCACTCCCTGGTACTGCAGGGTGTGTTTCTGCCGACAGAAGCCCCCCACCACCAGGGACCCTTGCTCCTGTGCACCCCACTTTGTCTTTCATTCACCAGGCTCTGAGGGGGCCCCTCCGTGGCCCCCCGAAAGCGAGCAGGAGGCAAGGCAAGGGCTGGGCCCTGCCTTTTCGCTCCCTCTCTGCCTGTCAGCCGGGGAGGGGGGGACTTTGCACAGAGGCAGCCGTTGCCATGACGACGGCAGGTCGCATCCGCACCGCCATGGAAACCGAAGTTAAGAAACTGATGCTGATGGGGAAGGGGGGGGGGGGAAGGCTGGGAGGTCACGTGGCCGCGTTGTGTTTTGTTTTGTTTTAAAAAAAGAAAAAAGGGGCTTGGTTTTGGGGGTGGATTTTTTTTTTTTTTGCCTCTCATCGGTCTCACTTTTTTTTTTTAAAGGGTTTTTTTTTTTTTCCCCACGTCCCTCCACCCCCACCCCTGGCTGGGCTACTCCTGCTGGGTGCTGGGTGCTGGGTGCTGGGGGTGTCATTCCTGGTGGTGCTTAGGGGACCTCGAGGTGCTGGGGAGCATCCTGCCCCCACACCCCCAAATTTCATGAGCCGGGAACTTGCCGCACGGAAAGGCCCCTGGGTGCGGCCAGCCAGGCCTGGCCCAGGGGTGGGAGAGGGCTGGGGTGTGCTCCCACCCTGCTCCCCACTTCCGTGGTGCCCCCTGGCCCCCAGCACCAGGACGGAACAGGCCTGCGGGCCCAGAGCCAAACTTGATTCCCCCCGAGATGCACTCAGAGGCCAAGACTGACCTCAGGGAGGGGACAGTCGCCCCACAGGACCCCGGCGTCACCAGCTCTCCGTCCGAGGCCTCTTCTTCTTGCGTGGGTGTTCTGGGAGGTCTTGGCCAGTGCTCCAGGGAGCAGAGTCTGGGGGAGCTCCCTGCCCGGTGCTCCCTTCTCTGCTGGGGCGGGGGTGGTGGGGTTAGGAGGGTTTGTGGGTGCAGCAAAGCCGTTCAGGGCTGTCCTCATGGAGGGGAACGGGCGTCCGTCCGGGTGGGTTGATTTTCGTGCAGTCCCAGGGACTGAGACAGACAGACAGGCAGGAGCTGGCCCAGACTGAGGGACAGGTGCTCTGCTGTCCCCCAGGCTGCTAGGACGGTTTGCGCTCACTCGTCTGACGGCTTCACTGCTGCCCTCCCCCCTTCTGTTCCGGCCTGGCCGTTTCCCGCTGACCTCGGGGAGATGGATGGAATGGACACAGCCCACCCCCCCGTCCCCGGGCACCGGCTGAGTTTCATGGCTGGACAGAGCGTCCCTCAGCGGCCTCTGCTCTTGCCAACCCACATCTGCTTCTTCCCTCCTGCCCTCCTGCCGAGTGCCCAGCTGCCAAGCTCCTGTGGTGGTACCGGGGCTCGAACCCATGACCTCAGGCTTGCTCACCGAGCCTCGCGACCCTGCAGATGCCTGGAGTCGGCTGGGTGGGGGACGGGAGCATCTTGGTCCTCCCCACCAGGGGGTAACTGGGATTCTTGGTGTGGTTGGCTTGCTCTGTGGGGCTGCCTGTGTTCTGGAAGATTCTGGAAGATTCTCGAAGATTCTGGATGATTCTGAAGCTCCTCGTGGGGGAAGGGCCGCCTGCACCCTGGCTTCCGGCACCCGTCTCTGGCTCCTGCTTGAAGACTGGCAGACAGGCCAGGGTGCCCCTCACCCAGACCCCAGACCCCAGAGCCGTCAGCTTTATCCCTGCACATGTGTGTCACATTTCTGAGCTGTATGGGGGTCACCGACCCCCCAGCCTGGGGTGGTGAGTGACCAGGGACCTCGGGGGCGGGTGAGCTCTGCATGTGTTCCCAGAGTCCGTCCTGCCACGCAGGTGTTACTGAGGCATGAATACATGCATGTCGGCCTGCACGTATGAGCATGGATGGGTACACACGTGTGTGGGCACAGGGACGCACGCGTGTGCATGTCCGCGTGGGCCTGTCCACGGGCGTGAGTCCCAGCACCCGTGTGTGGGTTTTGTACTGTGTCCTCATGGCTGTGGGTGACATACCACGCCTGAGGCTGTGCGACTCACCCAGGCTCACCCAGAGGGGGACGGTTGCTCACGCACGTTGGCCGGAAGCGTCACGGGCTACCTCAGTTGTGGCGCTAGCCGGGGGTGGTGCCAGCCTGCAGTACTGGCTGTCACTTGCCACATTGGGGACGGCAGAGCGCCCAGCTGCCAGGCCTATGCTTCTGTGGTAGCACTGGGGATCGAACCCACGACCTCAAGCTTCCTGGGCAGGTGCTCTGAGCCCTGAGCTGTCCCCCCGTCCGCAGGGCTCTGACGCCAAAGGCTTTGTTGGGAGCAGAGGGGACACTGAGAAGCAGTAGGTGGGCGCTGAAGCAACTCTGAGCCCGAGTATCTGCACACGCCAGATTTCCCGATGAGGCCTTGAGCTCTCCGTAACTGCATTCTCCCAGGCACGGCCCCTTCCAACGCCCCCAGAACCCCAGAGGGCAACCCAGCCCATGCCCTGCTGCCGGGGAAGAGGCGGGCGGGCGGGCAGGGAGTGTGGCTCACACCAGCCGTGTTGCTAAGGAGACTCGCCGCCCGCTGGAAGGGAGGTGCCGGGGGTAAGGCAGATAAATCAATAAGCAATCCTATTTTTATCAGTTCCCTAATGATCACTGTGAACCCGCCAGATGAGAGAGCTGCAGAACCCAATGGGTCCAGGAGCGGCCGTTCCGCACCGCTCCGTGGGTGTTTGGGGACAGTGCCAGGGAAGTTCATGAAAGGGAACCCCTGGGAGGGCAGGAGCGGGGGCCTCGCAGCTTCTAGATCCTTCTCCCACCCCTCCACCCCCCAAGTTTCGCCAGTGCAGCCCCCTCTTCCCCTCCCGCCCCCCCCCCCCCCCCCCCCCCCCCCCCGCCGGGCTCATTCCCTTAGATCAGGAAGCGGCTCTGGGCTGGTTGTTTTTCTGTTTGTTTGTTTTTGAATTTTTCAGAATCAATGTGGCTGTAATTGATGTTCTAATTTAGAAATTAAACGCATGCTCCCGGGAACACTCAAGACTGGAGCCCAGGAGTAGCGGAGAGAGGGAGGCGAATTCCCCCCCCCCCCACCTCGGGGGAGACGGAGTGCCCTTCCAGATCCCTTATTCCTCGCCGACTCTAGAACGTTATTAGAACGTTGTCACCGTCTGGGGTTTAGGGAGCTGGTCTCTGCACGCTCCTTTTGCCTCCAACAGCTGCTGTGTGTGCCCTGCATGGGACGTTGACATCGGGAGATGGTCTCTGTTCACGGTGATCAGGGCAGTTTTCGGGGACCCCCTTGGGCTGGGCAGGAGGGGCTCAGAGGTGACTTGCTCACAGACCCACATGCAACCGGCTACCAGGATGGAATCATGCCCTTCCGGAATATTCGGCGTCTGGCCGCGGGGGTCAGGGCATCGCAGCCCTGGGCTTGCAAACTCATTTCGTTCCTGGTTTAGGGGTCACACCTGCTGGGGCTCAGGTGGCTTGGTGATGGGGGGGACCCTGCAGTGCCGGGCATGAAACCCCAGGCCCTGGCATACAAGGCGTGTGCTCCTTGTTCTTTGAGGCCTGGACAACTTGGGGAGACCCTGGCCTGCCCCACCTGTCTGGGGCTCTCCTGGACGGTGCTGGGACTGGACACTGGGAGGAGGGGCGGAGTCTGGGGCGAGGGGCGGAGTCTGAGGCGAGGGGGCGGAGTCTGGGATGAGGAGCGGAGTCGGGTGAAATCTGAGACGAGAGGTGGAACCTGGGACCAGGGGTGGAGTCTGGTGCTGGGGGTGGAGTCTAGGATTGGGGCGGAGTCTGTGGCAAGGGGCGGAGCCTGGGATGAAACCTGAGACGAGGGGTGGAACCTCGGACCAGGGGTGGAGTCTGGTGCTGGGTTTGGAGTCTAGGGTTGGAGCAGAGTCTGTGGCAAGGGGCGGAGCCTGGGGTGAAATCTGAGAAGAGGGGTGGAACCTGGGACCAGGGGTGGAGTCTGGTGCTGGGGGGTGGAGTCTAGGGTTGGGGCGGAGTCTGTGGCAAGGGGCGGAGCCTGGAGTGAAATCTGAGACGAGGGGTGGAACCTGGGACCAGGGGTGGAGTCTGAGATGAATCAGGTTGGGGCGGAGTCTGATGCTGGGGCGGAGTCTAGGGCTGTGGGCGGAGTCTGGGGCTGTGGGCGGAGTCTGGGGCTGTGGGCGGAGTCTGGGGCTGTGGGCGGAGTCTGGTGCTGGGGGCGGGGTCTGGGGCGAGGGACGGAGTCTGGGCTAGGGTACAGTCAATTCCCAAGGCAGGGGATGCTCTGTGTTCTGCATCCAGTCTGAGGACACGCTGCCCGTTCTGAGCGCCCTCTGCTGTCCTCCCAAGGGGCAGGGGTCGGAGAGTGTGTGTGTGTGTGTGTGTGTGTGTGTGTGTGTGTGCGCGCGTGCCCCCACGGGCCCCTCTCTCTGGTGACTGCCTTAACTCGCCTGCCTACGCCCTTCGAGTACATGATCCTGGCCACCATCATCGCCAACTGCATCGTCCTGGCCCTGGAGCAGCATCTCCCGGAGGACGACAAGACGCCCATGTCCAGGAGGCTGGTACGTGCCCCTTTGCCCGTGCCCGTGTCCCTCCACCTCTTCCCCCTGGCCGCCTTCCTTCCCCCGTCCTGCCGCCGTTTGGAAGGACCAAGAGAGACGAGGGACCCTTGGAAAGGGCCCATGAAGTGTCAGAGGCCTGGGACATGGTTCCGAGGACGGGTTTGGTCTCCACATGGCATCACTGATACCCCCTTAGTTGGGGGAGTCCCGGGGCGGGAACTCACCTCGGGGCTCTGTGCATGCTGAACTCGCATGCAGTTTCCCCCGGCTCGGAGAGAGACCTCTTGCAAGGGACCCGGTTCCAGCACACGGGACATGCTATGTGCCACCACCAGCCGGGAAGTCTGGGATTCTCTTTCCTCGGGGACTTGGCGAGGGAGTGGGGAAAGCGGGGTGCCGGCTTCCGTCAGGAGGGTGAGGTCACATCCTCCTCCTTAGCTTGCCCTTCCCCGTCCAGTGCAGTTCCAAGAGACACACCACAAGTTTAGTGTGTAGACATGCAGCTGGGCAGGCGATGGCTCAGAGTGGGGGGCGAGGGGGTTGCAGCTTGGCATGTGGCAGCCCCGGGTTCTGTCCCCAGCACTGCATGGTCCCCCAAATACCTCTGGAAGCTGCTCCTTAACTCCCGAGCACTGGGCCAGGAGTAGCCCAACTCTGCCCCTCCCCCCCATTAGTAGGAAATTAACAAATCCAGATGTGTGGGGGAGTAACTTGGGTAATTGAGCCTGGCTGGGCAACCTAGAGCCGGTGAAGCCCGCTGACCTCCGGGAGCCTGGCAGTGACAGCCACTTGCTGGGCGGGGTGCGCTCTGGTCCTGGGGACCCGCCCTCCTTCCCTCCCTCCTTCCTGCCAGCTCCCTGCCCCGGCCAGCTCTGGCTGCTGGCGGCAGGGGACCTGCAGGAGAGGCCCAAGGCGGTGGTCCGGGCTGGCGTCTCCCTTCCTGTCTTACCTCCCTGGACCCCGACCGGAACCTGACCGGTTCTCCGGTTCCTTCCGCAGGAGAAGACGGAGCCGTATTTCATCGGCATCTTTTGCTTTGAGGCGGGCATCAAGATTGTGGCCCTGGGCTTCATCTTCCACAAGGGCTCCTACCTGCGCAACGGCTGGAACGTCATGGATTTCATCGTGGTCCTCAGTGGGTGAGTCATTGCCCCCCCCCAGGTCACCATGGCAACCAGCAACCTCAGAGCAGGGCCGAGGAAGGGGTGAGGCCCCAGGGATCTGACCTCGGGACCCACCTCCCGCAGGGCCAAGCTCTGGGCGCCGGAGGGTGGTACCCTCAAAGATGAGCCCCTTTTGGGGGGTCGAAGAGGGCTCCCCCATCATTTCCGAACTTACCCTGAAGACAGATGAGCGGGCGCAGAGAACTCTCTTCCTTCCGTGCGACCCCAGGGTCAAGACGGGGGGGGGTGTTTTCCAAGGATTCGGGGGTGGGTCTGAGCGTGGAGGAGACCCCAGTTCCATCCCAAGTGGGGGGTAGCACCCCCACCCAAACCCCACTAGGTTGTGACCCCTCCCACACCCACCCCAGCGTGCTAAAACCTTGGATAAAGGATTTATTTGGAAATGAGCAAAATGGCGTGTGCAGGGCTGAGGTGTGTGTTGGGGTGGGAGGGGGAGGGGAGACATCGTGCTAGGGGCAGGGGACACTGTGTCAACATTAGAGGGGGCATGGGCACATGATCCATCCATGTTGGAGGCTGGAGGGACACTCTGTCTGGTGGGTGAGTGGAGGTACGCAGTGTCACCATTGGGGATCAGGGGGACACGATGCCCGGGTCCACCCTAAATGTCCCCGCGAATGGCTCCTTCTGGAATGTTCCAGAATGGCTCCCTTCTGGAATGTTCCAGAATGGCTCCTTTCTCGAACATTCCAGAATGTCTCCTTCTGGAATGCTCAGAACACACCTGGAGTGGGTGACCCTCGGCTACTGAGGGAGTCCCCAGGGCACCCACTGCCCGACAGAAGACACCTCTGAAGACCAAGAGCGAGTCTGTGTCCGGCGGCACCGTTTCTGCCCGCGTTCTGTGAGCTCCCGAGCTAGAATCTTCCTCTCTGCTGCCGGTTGGTTGTCATATCGGGGGCGTTGCTGGGGATGAAACAGGGAGCTGTCCTCCGCGGGAAGCAGGGGTGTGACCATTGGGCCACCTCTCTGGCCCCTTGATTTTCAGCTTCCCCACAAGCCTCTGTCTTTCCCGCACTTGAGTCTGGGGGATCGCTAGCTGCACGATCTGCAGTTTCTTTATCTGTTTTATTTTTTTGGGGGGGTCACACCGGCAGGGCTCAGGCTGCTCCCAGGTCAGTGCTCAGGACGTGAAGCCCGTCGCCCCATCAATTCTCCGGGGGCTCTGCGTCTGCAGCTTTGGGGACACTTGGGTGACTTCATTTGGGGTGTTGGCTGCAGTCATTCAAGGCGTCCCCCCGGACTTTTCCTGGGCCCCCTGGGACAGGCCCGGCCACGTAGAAGGGCTTCCGGGCGCCCCTGGGTGCAAGCGTGTATCTGCAGCAGGGGACAGGCGTGGACAGGAGCGGTAGCCGCGGGCCTCAGGGGATCCCTCTGGGGGCTGGGCCGGCCCCGCCCGCTGCCCAGGAAGCCCTGGGCTATGGCCTTGTCCTCTGTCCGGCTGCCTTTACAGTTCCCCTTCTTGGTGGCTCTCCAGTCACCATGCCTTATGGATGGACCTGGGGCCCGTGGCTGTTGGTGGATGGACCCAGGCCTGTGGCTGTAGGTGGACGGACCCAGGGCCCATGGCTGCTGGTGAACGGACCCAGGCCCATGGCTGTTAGTGGACGGACCTGGGGCCCGTGGCTGTAGGTGAACGGACCCGGGGCCCGTGGCTACTGGTGGATGGACCCGAGGCCCGTGGCTGTTGGTGGATGGACCCAGGCCTGTGGCTGTAGGTGGACGGACCCAGGGCCCATGGCTGCTGGTGAACAGACCCAGGCCCGTGGCTGTTAGTGGACGGGCCTGGGGCCCGTGGCTGTTGGTGGATGGACCCAGGCCCGTGGCTATAGGTGAACGGACCCGGGGCCCGTGGCTACTGGTGGATGGACCCGAGGCCCGTGGTTGTTGGTGGATGGACCCAGGCCTGTGGCTGTAGGTGGACAGACCCGGGGCCCGTAACTGCTGGTGGTTGGACCCAGGCCTGTGGCTGTTAGTGAACGGACCTAGGGCCCGTGGCTGTTAGTGGACAAACCCGGGGCCCGTGGCTGTTGGTGGATGGACCCGAGGCCCGTGGCTGTTGGTGGATTGACCCAAGCCTGTGCCTATAGGTGGATGGACCCGGGGCCCGTGGCTACTGGTAGATGGACCCAGGCCTGTGGCTGTTGATGGATGGACCCAGGCCTTTGGCTGTTGGTGGATGAACCCGGGGCTCGTGGCTGTTGGTGGATGGACCCGAGGCCCATGGCTGTTGGTGGATTGACCCAAGCCTGTGCCTGTAGGTGGATGGACCCGGGGTCCGTGGCTACTGGTAGATGGACCCAGGCCCTTGGCTGTTGGTGGATGGACCCAGGGCCTGCGACTGTTGGTGGATGGGCCCAAGCCTCTGGCTGTAGGTGGATGGACCCGGGACCACGGAAACTTGTGACTGTCCCTCAGGAGTGGGGACCCTGAGGTTCACCTGCCACGTGGTGGGTTGCTTTCGTGGCACCCTGAGATTAGTCTTCGTGTCCTACCCAGGGGTTCAGGGGTATGGCAGATGCCTCGGCTTCCTGTCCATGGGATGGGGGTGCCCACAGCCGAGGGTGGAGTCCAGGTGCAGGGAAGTTCCCGGCGCCCCGCTCTGGGGCAGCCTGATTCTGCCCCTCGATGTAGACCCAGCGGGGCCCTGAGATTCACTCATTCCTCAATGCATTAATTCACTCAATAGTTTATTTACTCAGTCTCTCAGGCAGTTACTCATTCAGCCGTTTTTCATTTGGTCACTCGTTCATTCACTCCCTCACTCAGCCCCTCACTCAGTCCCTCACTCAGTTCCTCCCTCAGTTCCTCACTCAGCCCCTCACTCTGTCCCTCACTCAGTTCCTCCCGCAGTTCCTCCCTCAGTCCCTCACTCAGTTCCTCACTCAGCTCCTCACTCAGCTCCTCACTCAGCCCCTCACTCAGTCCCTCACTCAGTCCCTCACTCAGTTCTTCCCTGAGTTCCCCCCTCAGTTCCTCAGTCCCTCAGTAAGCCCCTCACTCAGTTCATCACTTTCTCACTCCCTCACTCCCTCAGTTCCTCACTCAGTCCCTCACTCAGCCCCTCACTCAGCCCCTCACTCAGTTCATCACTTTCTCACTCCCTCACTCACATCCTCACTCACTCCCTCACTCAGTTCCTCACTCAGGTCCTCACTCAGTCTCTCACTCAGTTCCTCAGTCCTTCAGTCCCTCGCTCAGTCCCTCGCTCAGTCCCTCATTTAGGTCCTCAGTCCCTCAATCCCTCACTCCGTCTCTCACTAAGTCCCTCAGTCTCTCCCTCAGCCCCTCCTCCTTCTTTCCCTCCTTCAGTGTCCCGTGTGCCGTTGTTCGGAGCGTTCGGTGGGGAGAACACCCCCAGCCCCTGCCCTCTCACTCCCTGAAAGGCAGTGAACTATCCCATCCCCCTCTGGACACTCCTGCTGGACACTGTGGGCGTTCCGCTGGGCACGTGCCGGGTGGAGCCCCTGAGCGACTCAGAGTGCCCTGGAGTCATTGGTGCGTCCCGTCATCCTTAGAAGCCTGGACCAGGTGGGGTGATGGAAAAGACGGCGAGTGTTGGGGGCTGAGACCCCAATGTTGAGATGTGCAGACATGACTGGGTGGGGGGCACTCCTCCGGGAGGAAGTGTGAGTCTCTGATCTGAGGGTGGGTGCGCCGGGGGCAGTGGTCAGCGTGGCTGGCCCGGGAGTGCGGGGGTCTGTCCCCCGGCCGAGGGCAGAGGGGAGCCGTGACAGGCTCTGGGTTCGGTTCTCCCCACCGAACGCGGGTTGGTTCTGAGTTTGCCCCATTGGGTGTCTTGTTTAGGTCACAGTCCACTGGGGTGGGATGGGGGGTGAGGGGGTCCCCAGGCTGCGACTGGGGAGGAAGGAGTGGGGGCCGGGGGTCCCAGATCGGGGGCTTTGTCGCGGCTGCCTCAAGCGCTCGGGCTGCCAACACCAATTCCCCTCACCCTCACCCGCGGGGTATTTTTAGCGGGTTCGCGCGGGGCCTCCCCGGGGAGCAGGAATACTCTGGAAAGCTCCGATTCCCCCTCGGAGCCTTTGTCTGCAGAGCTGGGAGTGTGGGGGAGGTGTTGGGAGCAGGGGGGTCCCCCCGGGAAAAGCCTGTGAGACTCCAGCGAGGAGCTGCCTGTCCTCCGGGGCCCTGCGGGGGTGGGGAAACTGAGGCTGACGGGTGGGGAGGGTCATGGGAAGGGCCAGGGAGACTCGGTGCCCAGGGGGAGACCAGGGTGTCGCGTGCAGGGTTGGGGGGACCCCACGATGCCTGAAAAGGCTGCCCCACGCGTGAGGTGCCTTTGGGGGGGCTCGTCCTGGCTTCCACCACTTGGTTGATACCCAGCTCCGAGCCTGGGTGCACAGAGCACCCCTTTTTATTTATTTATTTATTTATGTTTGGCTTTTTGGGTCCCACCCGGCGATGCTCAGGGCTGACTCCTGGCTCTGCACTCAGGGGTCTCTCCTGGTGGTGCTCGGGGGACCCTATGGGATGCCGGGGATCGAACCCGGATCTGCCACGTGCCAGGCAAACGTCCTACCCACTGTGCTATCTCTCCAGACCCTAAGCAGGATAATATTTTTAAAATTAAATTTATTGGGGGGGGGCGGGGTTCTTGGGTTCTTTAATTTTTTTTTCTTTTTGGGTCCCACCTGGCGATGCACAGGGGTTGCTCCTGGCTCTGCACTCAGGAATCACTCCTGGCAGTGCTCAGGGGACCCTAGGGGATGTTGGGGATCGAACCTGGGCTAGCTGCGTGCAAGGCAACGCCCTCCCTGCTATGCTATTGCTCCATCCCCGACCCCCCCATTTTAAACATTTTTAATTTTTTTTTATGTAGGAGAACTGCTGTTTATTCAGCCATTGATTTAAGCTGGTTGAATTGGGCATGAACTCCACAATATTTTATTTTATTTTTTTAATTGGATACACCCTTACAAAGCTGTTCCTGATCACAG